GTCGAATGCCGTCACAAAGACTTGGGGTATTAATCCTATCATCTGTTCAGTGTGTGGAACTGCTGAGTGGGCTGCGCGCTGAATGAGAAGCTGTAGGTACCGGGGAGAAGGGATATGGTGCGTAGGCGTGTTTGGAGCACATTCAGAATTCATGCCTTTCCCTGGCTCTACTGATTGAATGTGAAAATTTCCCCCTGTGTCTCCAGCGGTCACCAGTAATGGGAATGTGCAAATGTGAAGGTCTGGTGGCAGTGGGAAGGCAGGTGGGACACGGAACAGGCTGCAGTGATGGAGGGACATAGCCCTCCTCTGCCTCCGTGGCTGTCTGCCTGCTGTTGTGCTGCTGAAGAAGGCTCTGAAGGAGTCATGCATCTTGCTCAGAGCAAACGGAACAGTAGATTCAGCTCTTCAGATTGAGGCCAGAATATAACAAATGGACTAAACCAAAATGACAGCTCCCAAGGTTGCGGGTGTTGAATATATAAGGATTCAGCTTTGAGGCTGGGTTTGCAGGCTGAGTCCATCTCTTAACGAGCAGAAAGTGGCTGCCACAAAGGAGCTGGCGTTTCTTAGATGCTGGCTGTGTGTTACGCTGCCTTCTGCGGCAGATCTGGTTTAACGGCGTCTGCGAAACCCAAACTCCCTCTCCTGCAGACTGTCTCTCGCTGGAGCTGCAGTTCTGCACTGTGGTTCCCTGCCAGCAAATTCAGTTTGAGAACTTGTTCTCCGAATGACTTGTGTCTGCCCCCATACTGTGATTATTAAGTAGTCTGTGTGATTGCCCTTTAAACTGGATCCGTGATATGGTACAAGGAGAAAAAGCTATTTCCCTCAACCCCCCCCCACCAAGTATTTGTTTTTAAAAAGAATGATTCCATAGATCTAATTTGGAATCAGCACAGCTGAGGGGGCCATAATGAGTGTCTGTAAATTGGGTGACAGGAACTTCTTAAACCAGAGCAGCTGCCAGAGGCATCTTAACATGGAGCTTCTGCTGTAACGAGAGACAGCTTTGGCAGGCGAGGATCTGCAGCCAAATAGCTGACTCCAGGCTGGTGGTTCCCCACCTGGGTCCTCAAATCAGCACTCCTCGGTCCCTGCAGCTTTTAGGTGCCTCCACGCTGAGCAGAGGAGCACCCAGGAGCGGGGAAGGTTTTTGAATGTGAGTAGTCAGGAGGAGAAAGCAGTTGTGCATTGCACATCTCAAAAGCATGTATTGTTTTTTTAGAGGGCTCAGGCAGGATGGGGAGGGAGAGCTTTGTTGCTGGCATATACAGATGTGTTTCCAGCCAGACATTGAGTGTTAGCAGTGCAGAGAAAAATATGTGCTTGGGCTTTCAGTGGGAAACAGCAACAAAAAAAAAAAAATCCTTTCCATTTCTTTCAGCTGGAAAGTGATGCCAGGAGCTGTTGTTTTAGAGAATGAGAAGTCTGGATTTATAAGCATGTGTGTGAGATACACCTTTGAATGTGTATCAAGGAAATTTACACAGAGAAAATGCATAGCATAGAGAGTAGGTCTTACTGCTGACTGTCACTGTTCAGGGAAAACCAAGCCTGTAGTGGAAATCTCTTTGTATGTTTCCTAAATAAATAAATAAAGCAAAGAACATCTGTTTGTGTATAAATAGATCTGTTTCTTCTGGTTTCATTGTGCCCACAGCATGTGCCAATTTCTTTGGAGGGCCAGAAGAGAAGGAAAGTCTTCAGGAAAATGTTGAGGTTACAACTCCCAGATAAAACCTGCCTGTGGTACCTTTATAAAGGTACAGTTGGCTTAGTCTTGCAGAGAGCAAACGTGCTGGTGAACTTGAGGTGGTTGCCAGACCTTTCTGGCTTCTTTTTATATGGTTTGCCAAATCCTTAGCTAGCTGGAGGGTGAACATTAAGACAGGCAGCAGCACTGAAAGCTAGGCAGTGGGATGTTGAAAAATTCTGCTTGGGCAGGGGATAATTAATGTGATTGTTTTTTTGCAGTGATTGCCCTTAGATCCCCTGAAGCGCTGGCTTGCGCTGGAAGGAAGGGCACCTCTGAAAGGATGCTACTGTCCCCTAGGAGTGGGCTGGAAGAGTGTCCACTGAGCCCCAAACACAAAGCTGATGGGTTTGGTTTTGTTGTTTATTAAAGACAGGCCTTTGTACAGCAGTAATGGAAAATCCTATTTCTGTACCAATAAAAACTTTGCTCCCATGGTTTGTTGTTATTGGCAAACTTAGTCACTTTGGTGTTTATGGAAAAGTATTTGCTGGGAAGGACTGGATGGTTAGCAAGCTTCATCTGCTTTCATTTTGCTTTGATGGCACACAAGCTGCTGTGGGACCTTCTGCTTCATCCCTGTACCCCATCCACAGCTCATCCTTCCAGGCTGCTATCCCTCCCTGCAGCGTGGACAGCCAATGTCCCTGCTCCTTGCTGCAACAAGGTAGAGTGTTGCCTGGGTCTGGCTTGGACTCTTCTTTCTGGCCTGGGGGGCAACAGTTCTGTCCCTGTTCCTACTTTACCACACAGGAGGCTGAAACAACACAGTGTATTGTGTAGAAGTCAGTCTACACCTAGTTGTGTGGGGTATCAGCCAGCTGACAATAACAATAATAAAGGACTTGAGTGCTGCAGAAGGATTAAAAGAAGCTTCTCTAATAAATGCAATTATACAAACGTGCTTGAGCCATGTGTCCTATTTAATTCCTGCCCAAGAAAAGAGGCATTCCTCAGGGCGCTGCTTTTGTCTGAGTGAAAGAGATATCTAAGTGCCTCAGGCATCCTCTCTGAATCCAGAGTGGCTCTTCTGTGCCTTGGGTGGCAACTAATACTGGGCTTCAGATTCCTCTGAAGAACAGCTATTCCCCCAGGACTGACTCACTATTTTTTTGCCAGGCAGTGACTTTATGCTTGGCAGAGCCCCTGCTGCCATGCAGACCTCACAGGCAGCATTCCTTGCTGGATGTGTTTCCCTGCCTGCAGTGCCCCGTGGCGTTGTGTTTGCCCACAGGGCTGCCTCTGCTCCCTGGTGAGGAGCCTTTTACATACGTTCCTACAATTGGGGATTTTCTAGTGGGCCTTCATCACTTCTAGAGAGTACCTTGGCACCAAGAAGGGCCTCAGGCTAAACACTGTGACAGGCTGTACTTGTTCTCTTGTCTGAAGGACAGTTTTTAAATCACACCTTTAATGTGTTTTGTTGTCTCCTGCTGGTCAGTGAATTTCCCATCTCTGCCCTTCATGTGAACAGGACTCATGATGGAGAGAACATCTTCCAGGCTGTTACAGAGCTGCTTGCCGTTACCCCAGGCAGCATCCAAGAAATACTCTCTGGAGCTAATTAGTTGGTAGCTCAGCTCTGGCAATTAGGACCATTAGCTGGAAACAGAGGAGGCAGTTGATTCATGCAGATGTGTGTAGATATAAGAAATGGGGTCCAGATCCATCTGCATCCATCTGTTGGTTTTCAGGCATGGCTTTGACTTGACTTCTCTGTGAGGCAGCGGTTGGGCAGGCGTAGGGATGCATCCTTAGGGCTGGACTGATGGAAGGGGACAACCTGGGAAGCACAAGGACCTCTCAGAGGTTGCTTTATGTGCTGCTCCAGGGTCAGATCACCCTTAAATGACCAGTGTTAGTGGGCCAGGGATGTTAAACCTTGAATGTTTTTCTCTTTCCCTCAAAGCTCTTTCTCCCTCCTTTTCCAAGTATTTAATCTGAAATCGTTGCTCATCTGTAGAAGCTGAAGTTTTAAGAAAACCATTAAATATTCCAAGGTTCCTGGTAAGGTGCAATGTGAAGGATTAAATGGTCCAGAAAAGCTGCTCTTTGGCTTTCCCAGCTCCTTGCCCCTCAGTGCATACATTCCCTGAGGTATCTCATAAGGTTACTTGCGTGCAGAGAGTGACTGTGCCTTGCTCATAAGCACCAAATGTTTAATTCAGTGTGTGCTTGTCAAAGTACATTAAAAATGCAGGTAGCACTTGCTATGTGTGAGCCAGCTCCTGGAAGGGAGGCACTGGCACAGGGTAACGTTACGGCCTTGTCACAAGTGGATCCTGCTGGCTCTCAGAAGTGTCCTGCCTACCTGCAGTGTCCCACCGGGCTGCTCCTGCCCTGCTCTCCTCCAAATCCTGCCTTTTCATGGTGATGCTTAAAGATCCCAAGGAAAGGTGGAGCAGAGAGGATGTGCCATGACCAGTGATTATCTGGTGTGGTTTTGCTACTATGTGGTTCTCTCTTGTCCGCCTTTATCTCTGTCCAGTTGTATCTCATCCTGTGTTTAGATCAGTCCTGAAGATCTCCCTGGCATCAGTGGGAATGTGAAGGCTTGCAGACACCTCCCCAAGGTTAAGGTCTTCTGTAAAACCACTAGAGTAGGGGTTGTATTTGAGTGCACAAATAGGTCCCAGTCTCTTGGTTTGGGGCTCAGTGTCCATCTGTGCAGCTTCCCAAGGGGAATTCGCGTGCTGTCAAGTGCAGCAGCCGTGTTTGAGAACTGGCAGTGCAATGGGAAGCCTCCGGGAGCACCTTGTTTTTAGAAAAGAGATTGAAATCGATATTTGGCAGCCAGGCTGCATGAGGTAAGGTTGAGGCAGCAGTGAGAAATTCATAAACAGAACGTAAAGGGTGAAAGCGGACAGTGCTGGGATATAAGAGAGAAAACAGCTTCACTCTTGAAAAAAAAGTACATTGGGCTTGTACGGCACTGGAAGTGCTGGTAGTACCAGGTGAAGTTCCCAGTGGGCTGCTGGTGTGCCTCCTGAAATGGGCAGGCCTTAGGGCTGGAGGCAGCTGCTCCCTTCTTCCCATCTGTGGGACAAGACCTCTGTTCATCAGTGCTCATCTCCTCACGTTTTGCTTTGTGCTCCTTCCATCTCGAAGGCTGTAACGATGTGCGTTTCTCCAGCCCTGGCTGACAGTTGCTATAACTACCACTGATGCAGTTGGGGAGGGCAGGTCCTGGTTTAGCCTGATTTCTACCACCCAGCCAACTGAGTCTTGTTTTCTTGCCTTTCAGTCCTTTCAAGGAAGCCAAGGACGAGCATACCTCTTCAACTCAGTGTGAGTATAACTTTGTACACATCACCTCTGCATCTCTTGCGATAGAATTAAGAAAACCCTCGTGAAGAAAAGAAACAAAAGGATAGTCCTCCTTTAGAAAACCTCTGCCTGAGACTTGGGAGCTTGCTGAAAATGCTTGGAGAAAGAGACGTGTAACAGCAATGATTCATATTTGATTTTATGTTGAGGTTTCAGATAAGGAGCTAAGAGAAGGTGGTTTTTCATCATCTCATTGAGAAATAAGATCTAACAGCTGAGTCATTCTCTTCTCAGAGAATGTAGTTGGACCAAAGAGTCAAAGTTTTGTAAAAGTAGAGAGTAAATAATATCTAAATGCGAACTTTTTAGAGCTAGCGTAAAAAATAAGTATAATTTTCCCAATAACTGCAAACAGTTTTGGTGAGATCACTGCTAGGATGTCTTTCAGAAGAACTGATTTCAGTTACATTTTTCAAGTTTCCATTTGGGAAAGTAAAAGTACCATTTTATCAATTTGAAAATGAAAATCTTCCTCAAATGCATAATTAGTGCAATTTACTAGAATATTATTAATCTCCTGTCCAAAGCTTTATAGAATTTTTAGTTGAATAAAAATTCTGTTTCACCTTTTCATTCTGTTCAGGAGCTGCAAGAGGTCTTTGTTTTGGTCACAGCTGTGGTACTCAGTATCCTGAACCTCCTGCTTGCGTTTTTAAATTCTGCCATGAAATGGCTGTCACCTTCATTGTAGCATCGTGCTGTGGAAAGACACACTAACAGGGAGCATCTCTCCTTTTTCCCCAGAGTTAATGTGGGTTGTGGCCCTGCAGAGGAGCGGGTGTTATTAACAGGATTACATGCGGTTGCAGATATTTACTGTGAAAACTGCAAAAC